TGAGCCACAGGCGCCACCCCCTAGTCTTGGTTTCTTTATCTCAGTGGTTCTCAACCTGTGGGTCATGACCCACAGGAACTGTATTAAAGGGTTGCAGCATTAGGAAGGTTGAGAACCTCTGCTTTATCTGTATAAAGAATAGAAAATGGGGTTCCTGGACCGGTGCCTGTGGCTCAAGGAGTAGGGCACTGGCCCCATATACTGGAGGTGGTGGGTTCAAACCCGGCCCTGGCCAAAAACTGCAAAAAAAAAAAAAAAGAAAGAAAAAAGAAAATGGAGTTCCTATGGAGTGTAGAAAAGTCAGAACAGGAGTCTATACAGAAAGAGATACCACTTGTTCTTATATGAGGTCAGGGCAGGGGCATTTGTATGGGTTCACATTAGGCATCTTGTACAGGTCAGGTCAGTGGTTACTGTATGGTGTGGGGCCAGGGGTTGCTGGACAGTGTGAAGATGGATTTATGTATGCTGTGAAGACAAGTTCCTGTATAGATTGAGCACTGTGGTTGTAAAGATTAAGTGTGTTTAAATGCATGAAGTACTTAAAATAGGGTCTGGGACACAGTAAACAATAAATGTCAGCTATTACTAATGCTATCATCAGCATTGTACATCACAATCTACCTCCCCCAACAACCACCTCACAAAAATGGGTACTTCCCATCTTACAGATATTTCTACTCACTTATTCCCAATACTTCCTACCAAACCAGACTCTCCAGACTTGCAGGGCTGGGGGTGGGAGAGAAGTGGGGAGACAGGACAGCTTGCCCTCTAAATTCCCTGATGAACCCCCACCACCACTTCCCTCCCTTTTTCCTTAACAAAGGGTGGCTATAACCTGACATCCATCTCCGAGTCCATGGCTGCCTGCACCCGCTCCCTCCTTGGAGACCCACCACCCCTGCTGGCCCTGTCACGGCCTCCACTATCAGGGGCCCTGACCTCAATCACTGAGACCATCCAAGCCCATCGCAGATACTGGCGCAGCTTACAGGGCATGAGTGAGTGGACCTGGGGAATTGGGAATAGTGGGTGGACTCAGGGAAGGGGGTGGCTGGGGGGCAGGGATTAGAGGCAGGAATGGGGATAGCACCCACACTCAAAGATCTCCATCCATGATTCCAGAGGTAGAAGACAAGGAGGGACTCTACAGTTCTATGTCGGCTACCAAGAAGGCACCCCAACCAGCCATTTCTGGGTCGGCTAAGGGGACGACCACACCAGAAGAGAAAGTTCCAGAAGTAGGCATGGGGAAGGCCACTTCAGCATTATTTGCTGAAAAGTCTACCCCAGGCCAGACTAAGTCAGAGCCAGCTGTGGTAGTGCTCACTCAGGACCAGTCATCGGAGGCAGCCAAGGGGAGTGCTGTGCTGGGCCAGACCATGGCAGAGCAGGCTGTGGGGGGAGCTGGTCTGGACCAGACCACCTTGGAGGAGACTGTGGGAGGAGTCACACTGGGCCAGACCACCTCAGAGGAGGCTGTTGGGGGAGCCTCACTGGACCAGGCTACCTCAGAGGAGGCTGTAGGAGGAGCTTTACTAGACCAGACCACCTCAGAGGCAGCCATGGAGAGAGCCACTCTGGACCAGACCACCTCAGGGGAGGCTGTAGGGGGTGCCCAACTCCAAACTCCTCTAGCCTCATGCAGAGACAGCCAGACACCCCCAACCTCACCTGTGCAGGGAGCCACACCCCAGATATCCCCCAGTAAGCTGACTGGGAATCTCAGGACCTTGGAACTAGGCCACGAATCTCAGGTAAGGCCCACCACACCCAAGAAGGGGGAAGAAGGGGCCCAGATAAGGCCTGTCTGATATATCTTGTGCTTCTTATATACAGAAGGGTCGAGAATCTCAGACCCCAGAACCGGAGAGCCTACTAGAAGGAGGTCAGAACATGGATGATTTGATGCTGACACAGGAATCTGGGGACCTTGCTGACACCGATCAGGTGAGCTCAAGGAGAGGCTGGGACTATGGCTTCCTTCCCTTGTCCATTTGTCTCCAGGTAGAAGCATGTGATGTAGCAACACATAATGGGGAGATGTTGTCCCCAGCTTACTCAGTTTCACCCACCCACCCCAGGCTGTGTTTTATGCTGTGACACCACTGCCCTGGTGTCCCCATTTGGTGGCAGTATGCCCCATACCTGCAGCAGGCCTGGATGTGACTGAACCTTGTGAGGACTGTGGATCTCTCCAAGAGAATTGGGTGTGTCTGTCTTGCTATCAGGTATGGAGCAGAGAAATGGGATGGGGTGAGGTTGGCCCTCAAGCAAACTACAGGGGGATGCTGACCCCATCTGACACTCAAACCCCAACCTCAGGTCTACTGTGGTCGTTACATCAATGGCCATATGCTTCAACACTACGGAGACTCTGGACACCCGCTGGTCCTCAGCTACGTTGACCTGTCTGTCTGGTGTTACGATTGTCAGTCCTATGTCCACCACCAGGTGGGCCTGGGGCAAACCCTTTAACATGTGCACACTCACCCCCTATTCACCCCTTCTGTGATAGGGTAGGAAGAGCATGCGGATCCCTCTGTATGCTCTGCGTCCTGTGATTATTTTGTGTGGGGTGGGGACTTTGGGCTAGTCCAGGAGCCAGAGTGGTTGGGACCTGGAGTGGGGGCAGCCTTCTGTCCAAGGTTAAGGGGTCCTCACTCTCTCTCACCTACCCTGTTCTTGCCTCCTCCTCAGGCTCTCCTAGATGTGAAGAAAATCGCCCACCAGAACAAGTTTGGGGAGAACATGCCACACCCACACTAAACCCCTGACCGCGCTCCCTCTTCTCCACCTCCTGAGGCCCAAGATAGACCAGCCATAGTTCATTCCAACCTGTTCCTTGGATGAGAGGCAGCCTCCCATTCCATCCCATCCTGAATATCCTTTGCAACTCCCCAAGGGTGCTTATTTAAGTGTAAATACTTGTAAGAGGACTACAATGATCAGTTGGATGATCAATTGTGGTTCTGCCCCTGCCCACTGCCTGCTCAAGGGATACCACTACTCCTCTCCAGAAGGAAAGGAGGGCAGCTCAGTGACCCCAAAAGGGGCCTAATATCATAAAGGTAACATTGGAGGGAGGGGGATAAACTGGCAGGTATGGCAGGGTTGCATATGTAATAAAGGACAAGCTGTTACAAAACCTGGAGGAAGTCTTTTAACTTTTGAGTAGATGGAGAACCCCACATTCCTGGCCAGCAGGGCCAATGAGTAATGAAACAATGTGAGAGTGGGTCTTCATCAGGTTACCCCCCTTCCCATCCAATGCCCCAAAAGCTAACTAAAAATAGAGCAGACAGTTTGACTGGTTCCAGCAGTGATAAAATGGTAGAATCATTGGGAAAACAAGTGATTACCTTAGAAATAGGGGCCTCACGACCAGTCTCAGTCACACCCTAGACTGAGAATACAAGAAAAAACTATCAGGCAGTAGTCTTACCAGGCCTCAGTTTCCCTAACTGTCACATTGGCCTGATTGGGAATAGGGTGGGAGGGCCAGATTTTCTTCCTGAGGTAAGGGGTACCTATAATTGACCAGAGGTGGGAAGTTGGAGGACAATCGTCCTCAGCCTTGACTTCCTTGAGCTGCCAAAGCAATTCTCTGGGCTGTGGTTTCCCAGCCTTTTCTTCATGGCCGCTTTATGATCCCAAACTGTCCATCTGAGCCCCCTTCAGTCAAGAAGTGGAGTGAGGAAGAGCAAAAAGAGTGTCAGCCAGTTCCTTTTAAAAGCCCCATGATGCCCCACCGAGCAGCCCCTGCTTATATCTTATTCAGAGCTGTGCCACGTGATTGCTGTAGCTGCAAGGGAGTCTGGGAAATCTTTCAGCCCTGACCACTCTTTCCCTCCAGGAACAGATGCAACCCTCTCAGAGGCTACCAAAAAGCCAGTTGAGGTGGCACAGCTCCATGGCCTCAAAGCAATCCCCACAAAACTTCCCAAAGTCAGGCCCTTCAGGTCAAAATCTGACACACACACCGCTACACGCGGCCACACACGCACAACAAACAGGAAATCTCATCCCAAACGGGCCAGGCAGGGAGAGGCGCGCGACGAGGCTCACTAGAGGCCTGGCGCACCCCAGCGGCCCGGCTGCCCGCGCCTGAGGGGCTCAGGGCTAGGCCGCAGGTGGGGGCTTCCGAGGGCCGGAGAGCGTTGCGCATGCCCACTGCCCCCGCCCCAGCCGCCGGGGGTCTGGGGAGCCGCTGCGCCCCTGGTCAGTCCTGTCAGAGCTGCCTGCCGCGTCCCAGCGCAACAGCCTCTCAGGACACAGGTGAGCGGGCCGCCGGCCCCGGCCCTCCCGCGCCGGCTGTGAGGGGCCTTCCTCGGCCGCCTCCCCTCCTCTTGGCAGCGTGAGCCCCTCATCGGCCGGCTTTGTGAGGGTGTCCGCGCGGGGCGGGAAGCGGGGCGCCTACTCTAGACTAGGGGTGAGCCTCACCCTCCACACGGAGGCCAAAGTGTACGCACGGCTCAGGGGCCCCCTCGCCACCCCAGGCCTCACACCTCACCCTGGCTTCGTCAGGGAGAGCACGACCCGGGTGCCAGGGCTGCCCGGAGCGGGCCCCGGCCGGGCAGCGGGCGCCACTCCGAGTGGCCTGTCCCACTAGAGCAGAGCGCTGAGCCCTGGTTCTGTGGAGTCTCTCGCGGGCTGTGTGACCTCGGGCCAGTCCCGTCACCTCACTTCGAGCCTCGCTGCTCCGCGCGGGGAAAGAGAACGTGGTGACGAGACCTCGGTCTCCCCGGGGGTGGCGAGCGGACGGACGGGGTGAGTGCAGGCACGCGGGCCACCGCCGGCCGAGGTCGGGGGGCCTTTCTCCTCATCCTCACGGCCCCCTCGCCCGCCGAGCGGCGCCCCGACTTTTGAGCCGCGCAGCCCCCAAGCGCTGGCGTCTCCCGTGACCCCTTCCACGCCTCTCAACCCCTAAAAATGGCCTGGCTCGAGTCGGGGCAAGTTTTAGCCTGACAAACGTCCACCTCAGATCAGGCAGGTCCCCTCAGTCCTGACCTCTCCTTCCCTCCGGGAACAGACGCGACCCTCCCAGAGGCTACCACAAAGCCGGTTGAGGCGGCGCAGCTCCTGGGCCTCAAAGCGATCCCCACGGAACTTCCCAGAATCTGAGCCTCCCCTTCACGATCCGCCCTGCCGGTCCCACCTCCATCCCCACAGCTAGGTCTCCCCTCCTCTTTCCCGCTCGGAGGGAAAAGTTACGGTCCCCAAAACTCCGTCCGACGCGGACTTCTCGTCCCGGCCCCCTCTTTGTGGGCGAGCTCTCCCAGTGACCGTTCTCTGCGACCCCGGGGCAGGGGACCCCGCGGCGGCATCTGCACCTGAGGCCGTGCCCGCCCCCTCCCCTGCGGAGCCCTGCGGGGGGGGCCCGGGCCTCTGGCCCCGGAGGGGGTCGGGGTAAGGGCCATTGTGGTGCACTAAGCCGGGCCACTTCCTGAGCCCGGGGCCGGGAGGTGCATTCAGTGAGTTAATGGGGATGTGCCAATAATAGCTAACACTAATTGAGCACCTGCTGTGTGCCCGTCCTCTTCTAACCTGCAACTTCCTCGCTCCTTATCTTGTTATTGTCTCCTTCACACTGCCAGAATCTAATCCTCACCAGGGCAGGGATTTGAGCCTGTTTTGTTAACGGCTGTATCACAATGTGAGGCATGCGGGAAGATTCTTCAACTGGTGAATGAGGATTAAATTATAATTAGAAGGCCTAACTTTAACCAAGCACCTTCTGCATGCGTGTCACCTCCTGCTAACGTGTATTTTACTTTTATGTCTTGTTTTATATCTGCGGCCGGACTGGAGTGTAACGTTCACAGGCGGCGGGCTTTGTTATCTATTTCTTGCCTACCTCTCTGTCCTTGCCACACACCAGGTCCTCGATAAATATGCATTGAGTAATGAATAAAATACTAAATCCCAATGATAATGGCTACCACACTGCATGATTTATATATTTATTTGCTTGACTCTATTATCTGTCTCCCCTTTTTAGAGCATAACCCACCCCACCCCACCCCACCCCTGTCCCAGCACATTCTGTCTGGCAGGTACTGAGCTGGGCTGGGGTTCAATAGTGACAAAAACAGGCAGAATTCCACCCTTCCTCCACAATGGGGAGGGAGTGCTAATGGGGGCAGGGATTCTTTGCTGGGGTGAGGAAAAAGTTCTAAAATTTGATTGTGGTAATGGTTGCACAACTCTGTGAATATGCTAAAATCCAATGAATTGTACACTTTAACGGGCTAAACTTTATGAGATGTAAATTACATCTCTAAAGCTGTTTGAAATTTCCTGCCTTCGCAGTTTAAGTGGTAGATGAGAGAGAAGAATGAAGAGAGGGGGGTGGGGAGAGGGAGAGAGGGGGAGGAACCAAGAAAACTACATAAATCATGTGTATTGCATGCATATTAGGAGGAGGTCAGCACACAATAGCTACTCAATAAGTGTTGATCCATTGACACCCTGCTGTCTCTTTTGCCCCCAAATGGTCTACCCTGACCCTTTGTCTTGCTTCTCTTCCCATGTGCAGGGCCTGCTGTCCACATCTCTCCGCTAAGTTGCCTGCTGAGGACATGGCACGGTCAACAAAGTCTGGCACCATTGACTTGGGCCTGGGTTCTTGGAACCTTACCTCCCAGGAAGACTGCCAAGGGGCTGGAGCACACTGCAGGGGTTCTGGCAAGCAGCTGCCTGAGTACAAGGCGGTGGTGGTGGGTGCGAGTGGTGTGGGCAAGAGTGCTCTGACCATCCAGCTGAACCATCAGTGCTTTGTGGAGGACCACGACCCCACCATCCAGGATTCCTACTGGAAAGAGTTAGCCTTCGACCAGGGAGGTTACATTCTGAATGTACTGGATACCGCAGGGCAGGCCATGCACAAAGCTCTCCGTGACCAGTGCCTGGCTGCTGGTGATGGTGTGCTGGGTGTCTTCGCTCTCAATGACCTCTCCTCACTGACCCAGCTGCAGCAAATACGGGACACCTGGGGCCCTCATATCAGGAAGCCCCTTGTCCTTGTGGGCAACAAGTGTGACCTTGTGCCCACCACTGGCGATGCTCATGCTGCTGCTGAAGCCCTTGCCCAGAGCTGGGGGGCGCCCTTCGTGGAGACCTCAGCTAAGACACGGCAAGGTGTAGAGGAGGCCTTTTCCCTGCTTGTCCATGAGATCCAGAGGGCTCGAGAAGCCAGGGCAAAGGAGGCCAAGGCAAGGCCAAATGGGAAGCATAAGACTATGTGCCGCTGTGGCTGCTGTGTGGCCTAAAGGCCTTGGTCAAGAAAAGCAGACCCTCCCCCAGGCCAGGGTGGTGGTTCCCTTGATACGAGACCCCTGAAGTAGCTAGCTGTATGGGATACTATTGGTGTACTGGAGATGGATGGACACTACTCTTGTTTTCACTTGGTGAGGGGCTTTTTGGTAATGTGGATGTCTCACGTTTATGTTACGTTAAGTTGAGAGATTTTGTACAAAAATAAATAGTGTTCTTGAGTTTGAAAGCTGCCTTATGCCAAGTGTTATGTGGGT